TCAGGTAGGCAACTCGCACGACATTGCATGGCCCTAATGAGTCACCCGCCCGGCACTGACAAGGCCCTCCTTACCTCGAGCGGCATAGGGCAACAAGGCAACGTTGGCGATACACTCTCCCAGCCGAAAATTCCGGTTACGGTTACGGCTACGGTTACGGCTACGGTTACGGTTACGGTTACACTCGTAAATTGGACCCATTTCCGGTTACGATTAAAGTTCCGGTTACGATTACTTTTACTGTTTCGGATACGATTACGGTTAGTCAGCCCGGTTACGGTGAGAACGTTCCGGTTACGGTGATGACGTATTGGCAGTAACTCAAAGCCCCCATGACACCGGTGCTCTAGAGCACATGTCGCCCGTGTAAACTTTTGACGCCGAGCACAATGGTGGTGTTTTCGTTGCCGCACCCCTAACAGTTCTCAAGATAGCCAGGGGTTGAAAAATCGACTCTTTCCAAACTCCACACATAGGTTTGACTTGTGTTTCCCTTACGTTACCCTTAACCGTTTCTCCCTGCAAAGCTTAGTTTAAGCGCTACGACGTTTCAAAGTTTGGTATTTTCCGGTTACGATCGTAATCGTTTAACATTACTCGTAACCGTAACTGCTGACCGTAACCGGGCTACGGTTACGGTCGTATTCGTAAGCTTACTCGTAACCGTAAGTGTAAACCGTAATCGAACTCCGGTTACGATCGTAATCGTAAATCTTAACCGTAACCGGGGCAAATTACGGCCGTAATCGTAAATTTTGACCGTAACCGTAGCAAATTACGGCCGTTATCGTAAATTCTGGCCGTAACCGTAACCGGAATTTTCAGCTGGGCTCTCAATGACCATGGGCATTTTTGTCAGAAACAACCCGGAGAGAGGACGGGGCAAGTCTCGAGAACCGCTCTCCGCCCGAGGTGAAGCTATAAACAGTGTCAAAGATGAGCACCCGCTTCAGATTCCTCGGTTTTGTTACAGGCTAACAGGGTTTGCACACATAACTAATCTAGACGACATTGTGGGCCTTAAGCCGTGGGCGCGGATTAAGGCCCGGCTGACAGAGGGGGCGATGGACTGTCCGTTGCCTACACACAGGGACATTGTAGTGTAAATTGCCTACCTTTCAGGCGGACCTTTAGGCCACAGGGGGCGATTCCCTCCCTCCTATAATCCGCTCCTGTGGTAAGGGTGGGGATGTTCGATAAATAAAACACACATAGTCGACACAAAGTAAAACTGGACCCAACACTGTCACAAACAACGCGTGGATATCATTTTATTTTTCACGGGCCGTACTGCCATACTGCCGTACAGTTAAAAAATATGACCCATTTCCTCAAACCATACTCTTTTCTGCTCTTTTTTTATTCTGCCAGTTGATTGGATTCTGTTATAACCAGACAGGGCAGTGAACTGTAAATGAGATAGTACTGTATCGAAAAATTCTCCTACTCTGAACACTAGGAAACGTCCATTCTATCAATTCCATGTGGTTATGAACTCTGATTTTTTACAATCACAATTCACAGTTTTTAGAATGTGATAAACCTTACCGCAAGACCTACATGTCCAGTTACTTTGCAAAATCTCCACGAAAATCACGGCTTTAATTTAACGTGCGTGCTCTAATGTTCAAGTAGGCCTAAAAGGTATGAAACAGTATGCTGCAAAATGTTTGCAAAGAAAAGGCTAGTACTACAAACTATATTCTTTGCAACGTTTCAAAGAATTTTGAAGCATTATCGAGCATTATGAACTAGTTCTTTGAACTTGTAAACTTTTTTTTTTTTTGCAATGGGAGCACAGTTTGAAAGGATGTTGACTGCGTTCAGGCAGCGACGTTCCCATGCCTGACTTGCCTTTAAATACAAGTGCTTTTCGCTCCTCCTTTAGGTCCTCTCATGAGATCGGGCGCGGAGGCTACCCCCAGAACCGCGGACTGTACCTGGACCTGGAGCGCAACGGGCCGCCGGGGCCGCCGGGCCACCCGGGCCACCCGGGCCACCCAGGCCACCCGGGCATGGTTAGCGTCGGTGTCGGGCCAGGCATGGGTGGCATGGGCGGCATGGGCGGTGGAGACATCTCACCGCCCTCCGACAACGTCCTGTTCGATAACCAGTGCTACGCCACCACGCCCTCCTCCTCTAACGGGAACTCGGATATGGAGAACCCTCCGGGCCAACA